TTTCTGTTCAGACGAGGTAAACATACCCTGTCTGTTGCCTAAATTACACTCGCTGTTGGCTTGTAGTGTCTGCAGAATTCACTAAGTGCATTGAATAATCCTACAGTAAACCCACTACTGACCAGCATATTGATAAATGGCCAAACAAATATATCAATATTATTCCGGCTTGTGCTTGAACTCCTGTCGTGGAAACTAGTCTAATGTCTTGACTCCTGCGTGTCAGTGTCAGACACTGTAATACATGTTAATGTGACACTGTCTTACACGTATTTGTGAATTAACCAGATACCGGAGCAGACTCAACATTGATACCCATAGCATCAGGTGCCGAGATCCGGATGAACATCCCCCACAAACGCAGATTCGCAACGACCCGAGTGTTGCATATTCATTACACTGTCTCATCTGTGAAGGTATTCGAATCGATAGGTTTACAGATCTTGGTTGTCCTTCCTATTTGATAATTACAGATATTGTGAACATATATACGAACGCTAGCCTACAATACGAGAGATTATTTCGAGAATGTGTAAAATGTGTGTGAAATGTATTAATTGTGTAAAGAGTATTAAATGAATTTTATTAACTATAATTACACTGTAAAAAACAACAACTACACTGTGAATCCCACGTGATGCAATATTCCAGCATTATGATGGAGTTTACCATGTGAGGAATCGAACCCGGCCTTTCCAGTTGACGACATCTAGGCTACCTTAAAACCTAACTTCATGTAGCTACAAGATTAATTCATTCGCCTATATTGTTGAAATGATAGTGTTTGTTATTTGTACTTTCCTGACGTCTTGTATCCACTACTATGCATCATGGATACATGGCAATGTTAATAGCAGTACGATAATACGTTATTTGTTATAATTACGATAATTATGACTTAAGTAATAAGTCTACTGGTATTAGCGCAGGTTCATTTATCAATAAAAGATTTGGTTATTTTCGTTGTTCGTACAGATATGAATCTGATTTTTGTTTATCAGTTACAGATTTTAGTACATTATCTATTTACATCCAACGGAATAGTAGATATTGCTTGTCAGGAAGGTATGCGGCACGTATGCCTTCATTGCATATATGCAGTAGAGCAGCAAGTTGTACCACCTGCAGAAGCTCCACGTGTACGTGTTATAGGATAGCCTTGAAAGCCACATCAGCATGTGCTGGAATTAGACACGTTTGAAAAACAGAATTCCCATATGGTGGAGAGATAATTCTAAAACCTGCAAATTCATTACAACTTCTCCAAGAGTAGACCGATTTCATGATAAGCCTTATGAATAAGCCTGTACTTAATGGTGGGGAAAGGAAATGAGAAATAATAAAAAATACTGTTTATGCAAGGGTGTTAGGTGATTGGTAAGACGATGTGATGTTGTATTCATGACGGTGGTAAGTGTGGCGGTGCTTGCTTCCTCGTCGTTCCAAAATGCTACAGATAGGCATGGTGTTCTTGAGTTTGAGACGAGGACTGAACTGGAGTAATCTCCCGTGGTACGGTTCCAGGACCAGGCTGCATCGATTTCCCTTCGATGTGGATTGTTTTTAATAAAGAAATTAAATTCATTTATTCACATGTCATCAATTTTCTTTTACTCTACATGTATTTCACTTTTGTTCCAAGCTGATCAACCAAGTTTCCTTCGTGGCAAACAACCTCTCATGGAGATGACAGCAATCACTCTGGAGATGCAGCGTGGTCAGATATGTTTGTACATGCTTGCTTTTTATTATGATGATGGTTATTGTGGTTTAGGTTCTGTTTTCTGTTAGTGGGTAGATTATACAACGACGTATCGGCTATTATGAAGTATCGAGACCTTGTCATGGCTTCCTATGCTAGACATACCCCATAACAGCATCGACAGCCGTCATATAACTGGGAATATGCTGAGTATCAACAAACAAACAAACAAACAAAGACTAATTGCACTCAATCCTGTTTTTTGGAAAAATAATTTAAAATGTACACCACAAATTAGACCCAGTTGTTTCAACCTTCATAAATGATCTGGTACATGCGAGTTCATTGCTAATTTCATCACAAAACTCATCCGCCCTTTCCTTTACAGCTGTATCTGCTCTTGCTGCTGTAGTTGCTGTATCAAAACCTTTCTGACTGTCCACTGAACCCTTGTACCGTCACAATAGCAATATGTTGCTGTCCACAAAACCAATCATTTAAATCCAAACACGATGGCCTCAGGTGGCTGTATCAAAACCTTTCTGACTGTCCACTAAACCCTTGTACCGTCACAATAGCAATATGTTGCTGTCCACAAAACCAATCATTTAAATCCAAACACGATGGCCACAGGTTGCTGTATCAAGACCTTTCTGACTGTCCACGAAACCCTTGTACCGTCACAATAGCAATATGTTACTGTCCACAAAACCCATCATTTAAACCCAAACACGATGGCCACAGTTTTTCTTTAAGCGTCTTCTTCACATTATTGATACAAGATTGGGAGGATTGGCTGACTAATTGGTTTCACGCAAGCAAGAATATACACTGACATGTAAGTGTTTCAGTCATAAATAGATTAGTCATTAGATTCGGGTTAAAAGTGCACGCGCACGGCCATTGTGACGTCACTACAAGTATCTTGCTTTTGAAGCAAGGACAAGAGATCCACTTCAGCAAAATCAGACCGTTTACCAACATCGCAACTGTCTTTACAATGACGTGAAATTGTGGCAACCAATGAGGCCAGGGAACACTTGAGGGAGCTAGGCCCTTCTTGAAACCATCGCCAAAGCAGCTGTCAGCGTCGAGTGCCCATACTTTAGGAATGCCCGTGGAGATTTCAATGAACTTTCTCGCAAATTTCTGAAGAAGAATTCCCTAAAAAATATTTGAATTAAACTCCTGTCACTCTCATTGGAGTTCGGAAATCTTATTTTCTCTCACTGTCAACAGGAATTTATCAGTGGGTGGCAATTTAAGCGTGAAGGGGAGCGAGGAATGCCTATTCTCTTTGACGAAAATAGGAGAGTCTTCGATCGTGGGGACTTTTGGTATGAACTACTGCTCCACCTTGTACTGGAGGTATTGAGGAGCAGAGGTCGGGGAATGACATCCAGTATTTCACTAAACACACCAACGCCATGGATTTGGACACGTAAGAGATAAGACGTCGACGTAGATGAACTAAGAGTTCGTACAAACAGAAATGTTGTCAAACACGTTTTGCACGAGCAAGACTTGCTTTATCGCTTTAGTCTGTCCGGCAATCCAATCGTCGCGGGACCACATCGTGGAATCTCTAGTCCAAACAATTAAGACCAAATACGAGTCGATATTAATTCTAGATCGACTCTCCAGAGCAAACACGTCTATGAAAGGCTTAGGTCCATGTCGAAATCTCCTGCCAGGGGCGATTTTGGGTGAATACTGATCAGATATTGAGCGAAGGGAATAAAAAGACGGTGCCACATTATTAAATGCAGCTTTATTCACCAAGTTTCCATACATTGCTGTAGGCAACACTTGGATAATGCTGTTTGATGTCCAGTCTGGCGCGCCATAACATCCTCTATAATCTTGACCGCCGTCATGCTGCCCCAAATGTAACACGACTTAGTCACAGCCATTATTTTCACATAGCCACAGGTATAAATACCATTTGATAGTCTGGAACACGACTAATTCAGACTATTTGATAGGTCCGTGGCTCGTCAGTTCATGTTATCTTGCCATTATATCTTCCACATCCCGTAAAAATAAGTGATGACATACAAGTAAGTGCCCCCAATAAAATGATAGAATAAGTGTTCCAAACAATGACGACACAATGTAGAGAGGCCTTCTACCAATAACATTTGCCTCCCACAGCTGATCACCTTAAGAGAAAATTGAAGAAAGTTAATTCAAACAACATACATTTCGTCATGTTCCATTTTTGTTAATGATAAAAAGAAGTAATAAACTGTCATCTTATTTTCTATTGCATTAACGGAGTACTTCATGCTACATGGCCGTAACATGATAAGTTGGTCTACACTGCGTTTGAGAGATAAATTTCTTAATCAAAGGTTTGACGCGACAATCCCTTGTCATTTCCCAGCGCGAATGACAGATACAATAAAACTGACATCATCATACATTGCCTCCAATCTAAGCTTTCTGAGTCCTTCTCTAGACGGCGGCAATGGGAAGAGGTAAGATTAGTCTCATATAGCATCATTTCCCATACATCATACCACGTCTAAAACGTCCCACAAAGTGTTACCCATACCGATCTACTTTCCACAGTTTACCAAATTTACAAATGGAGTCAAAAGTCTAAATGACAAACATGTCTGCAAATTAGATCCTGATTGCTACCAAGGAATATTGCAGGGCGGACCTGGCCTAATGAAGCAGATTCAGCGACCTCCCGACGTTTGATTTTCTCCGACAAATGTATCATTAATGAAGCGTAAACGGACGTATAGACGCTCTCTGATGAGGGGGAATCTGTGTCCGCAAATATACTAGTATCAAAGACTGAGAGGCAGATCCGATGTTACCAATTCAATTTGCAAGTGAGCGAGTGGGTTTAGTTTTACGCCGCTTTTAGCAATATTCCAGCAATATCACGGCGGGGACATCAGATGTTACCCATGGTGGAAATCGAATCTGGGTCTTCGGGGTGACGAGCGAGCGCTTTAACTGCTTGGGTACCCGCCGTACTATATATGTTCAAAATAAATCATGCGATATGAAGCTATCAGAAAGTCATCGGTTAGACATACTAAAAACACATTTTGGTTGTTTCTAAATATTATACGCTTGGGTATAATTGTAGATATCTGCATATGTTCATACCAAAGTTGTGTTTGTCAGACCAAAACAAGAACAAAACATTTGAAGTTTAAGATTCTCAATATGTTTACATTAAGTCAAATTTGCCTTGATTAACAAAAAACAATCAATACAATTTGTACAAACCTCAGTACAAGACCAAATTTAGAATACAAATAACATAAGACGCGTACTTCATTGGAATTTATTTAAAGCAATAATGATTTCTGCATATTGCCTTCGGTAGACAATGTGCAGAAGGAAAATGATAAGAATATGCTACTCTTATAACAGTCACCTTTGTAATGTACAAAATTAATCAGCTTTCATACAGGACAACATCACTCATTCATTCTTGTAGAGATCGTGGAATTATGCTCATGGCAGGAAACATACAATCACACATTTACAATATATCACCTTAGTTCTGAAGGTATGAGGCAGTGTTAGTGTCAGGAATAACCGAACGTACATGACAATCCTGTGAGGATAACCGGACCTACAGTCAGACACAACATGATTCCAATAACTTAAAATCTTTGCTATCACAAGGACCGATTGAAAAACATTCAATAGTATGTAATCATCTTGACACAAAGAGTATTTTTGTGCTAATATATCTCAATAAACAGACGAGGTAATACAATGTCCATTGCTAAGAAATATGGGAGGTTCATCACATAGTTAAAAGAGTTCATTAAAGAGTTGAACGCCTGTGATCTTTCCTATGTTTGAAATCTAGAATTGTTCCCTATGGGCAGTAAGGACGACCACAGCGGTGCCTACACTACCTTCAGGTAACCAACGTCTTCAGCTGGATGGCACCTGGTATCGGCTCACGATCTAGAATCCGGTGTAGATGCGGGCTGGCTTCCCATTCCCTCCTAACATTCGTCGTCAGGTCTCTGGTGCGCTGTTAGCGGCTCTCTGTTGTCGTAAATTGTCGGAGCCTGCAGGATGATGCCGAAAGTTCCAACAACGCAGGCAATCGTGAAGATCCATAGAAACAGCCGATCTAGCACCATAGCCACGTACTTCCAATCTTCAATAATCTGTTGATATAAGACTTATGCTTTTTACCTTGGAAACATTTAATGATTATTGATCTGGATACAATTAAGAAAAAACAAGATACATCGGATGTAAATACTGACAGATGGTATGTAATTGACTCAAAGACGTGGTATGAATGAGTAAGATACTTACTTATAATATAAATGTACTTTTGTTTGTTATAAAGTCTTATGTAAAGTTTCAGTTAAAGACAGTTTCCTTTCAGAAGCTAAACAGCTATTGATAAAATTGAAATGCCATTAACTTCCTGAAAAGAAAATATTAGGAAAAACACTTAAATGCACCTTACGTGTTATTAGAGTATGCAGTATGTCATTTGTGTTAACGGGCATGGTTTTCTATAATATAATCAGCAGACCTTTGTACTTATTATGGGGTCATACTCAAGGATTAATGTTAAGTATAATTCATACCATGATTCATATCGAATCTGATTATTATCTTAATATCATATATACACGGTTTGCATGACAAGATATTCGCATACAAAATACCCGGCGAATTCGGGGCACGAATATAGGTCAGTAAGCTGTGGATGTTATAAGAGATGATTAAACGGATTAAGTAGGTAGGCTGGGTGACGGATTTGATGGCATGTCGTATCTCATGAAGAGTGCAATGTTAAACACAAACATAGAACATCAAATCCTAAACCTTTGTACAAAATAAACAATAACAGACACCCCCTGTTCATTCAGGATGGTCGATTGCATGAGTGAGTGAGTTCCATCATTTGATTGTCTTACAAACCTCCTTCGATGTTACTGATGGTATGTAGGTTCGTTGTTTTACGCCGCACTCAGCAATATTCAGCGATATGGCGGCGGTCTGTAAATAATCGAGTCTGGACCAGACAATCCAGAGATCAACAGCATGAGCATCGATCTACGCAATTGGGATACGATAACATGTGTCAACCAAGTCAGCGAGCCTGACACCGATCTCGTTAGTCGCCTTTTACGACTAGCATGGGTTACTGAAGATCAATATTCTAACCCAGATCTTCAGGGCATGGTGACATACAGTCAACCAAGATGTGTAATATACGACCAACCGATCACCATTTACAGACAATTAAACGCATCTGTACTGCCCACTTCGAAAATTAAAACAATATACGGGTTGAAGACTAACATAAGGGAGACTGCAGGAATTTTTTAGGAAATGTTAGTAAGCATTCAAAGGACGCCCACAGGCTTAACGATAAAGTGGCGCCCAAACTGCGATTATGTATGTTCAGCTAGTTTAGGAATAGATACCGTTTGTCAATGTTAAGGAAATAGGGAAAGAAGTGAGTGAGTGAGTGGGTTTGATTTTACGCCGCTTTTAGCAATATTCCAGCAATATCACGGCGAGGGACACCAGAAATGGGCTTCACACATTATGCCCATGTGGGGAATCGAACCCGGGTCTTCGGCGTGACGAGCGAACGCTTTAACCACTAGGCTACCTCACCGCCCCATAGGGAAAGGAGGTAGGACACGATGTGGTTACTTTGTTTTGGGCGTATTTGACTTAGGTCCGCGACCTGTTACTGACCAATCTGGACATCGACTCAAGGTCAGGTTAAGTGAGTTGACGGGTGAGTATGGTTTTACGCTCCTTTTAGCACGGCGGGGAACACCAGAAACTGGCTTCACACATTGTACCCACGTGGGTATTCGAACCCGGTTTTTCGGCCTGACGAACGAACGCTTTAACCACTAGACTACCTCACCACCCATCTAATAGTCAGATGAAGAATAAAACAGGTTCGGAAAACATCTAAAAAGGTTTTACTGAATTCCCGTTTGGCGGATTATGGAAAGCGCATGTTATATGCCCAGTACTGTGATCTAGCAATCACAAAGATGCATTTACAATGTAAATGTAGACGTAATGTTCCGAATTGAACACATAGTAGTGTATTTAACCATATTCAGTTGGTGAAAAACTCACGATGACCCTCAGTCGTACCTTGATGAACACGTACTCCTATCTGCAATATTGGGCGGTGGGGTAGTCTAGTGGTTAAAGTTATCGCTCTTCACGCCGAAGACCCGGGTTTGATTCCCCACATGGGTACAGTGTATGAAGCCCATTTCTGGTGTCTGCGATATTGCTAAGAGCGGCGTAAAACTAAACTCACTCACTCCTTGCAATCAGCGACGGTCACTTTTATGAGCTATATAACTGCTTCTCTCGCAAGTTCACATGACCTACATCTAAACTCTTCATTATTTAATAAAAATGTTTACCATTCTTTTTATGCCCGTTTTGCTTTTCATTCAAAACCCTAAAATAACACCGAGATGAAATAACGTTGACCTGATCCTCCAACAGTTATTGCGTCCGTAGCTATTTCTGCTGTTTCAGAATTATCAATAATCATTGTATAAAGAAGATATATGTCAGCCAAATATAGGATACCATGCTTCTCATAATGATAACAATGTACAGGATTTTAAAAGGGCTTTACAATAAAGTTTAGCATTATTTAACAGACACGTCACATAGCTATTTGTTTATGTTTATATATATTGAGAGTGTTATCAAAACAAATCAACATTTTCAATCCTTTGGGGATTCTATTCTGCTGTTTTCATTTCGCAGTGGAATTTGTAGAACTTGTGTTTCAGATGAAAAGGCAGATTTTGTTTTTATCTGCAATCTATTTTCTAATTCAAACGCTTGTTTGAATGTTGATGAATTTGGATGAAATCCCCATGTCAGTTCTACAATCGGAATGTTCTCAATGGTAATAACCTGCACTCATGTTTGAAATAAAGTAATTAGGTTTGCAGTCAAATGTTATTATGCTGTATTGAGAATTCAAACCAATATTCAAAGATGAACAGCCCAGTTTGCAACCAGGAGTCTCACAATCGACTGGGAAAGCTCACTGCTATTCTGGTTGTGCGGAAACTCAGATGCAATATAATGAAATGTGCCCAGGGCTAACTGTTTACTGGTGATAAAATAAGTAAAACGGGAGATAAAATAATCTGGGTAGATATCTTCATCGTTTTTGGAAAATTGGCAACATAAATAATTGCCCTCATGGAGATCATATTGAAGGGGGAGGTTTTCAGAACAGCTTGAATATTCCATAATACCATACTTAGTGCCAAAAGGGCATATTCAATATTGCTGCTATTTGGAAATCGTATGAAAAATCTGTGTTGTTAAACGTACAATTCCTGGGAACATAATTTACACTCACAAGTACAGGATTATTGACCCAGGGAAATGTCCAAAATGCTGAGTTGCTCCAGCTTGGTAGCTGGGTAAATGTGGAGGTGAGAGGCCTTAGCAGTGTAAAACATGATCTTAGCCAAAAAGGTCACATATTTAATTTCGCATTGATGGCTGCATTCTCGGTTATTACTGGACAACTTTAAGGGCATTTTGCAGGACGAACGTGTTGGGTATGCTTAAATGTTTCGGGATTTTTTTTACAACAGACGCTTATAGCACTATACAAACATGTCTCTTGAAAGTCTTACAATGAAAGCCACACAATCCGTTCCACATCCATAAGAAATCTCTGCGAAACGCAGAGTCGATCGTACGAATCTGGGGCATATGCTATACATCACAATGAAATGGGGATGATACCATGTGTTCGCGAAAAGAAAATCTCGTATATTATTGAAGATTATTCTAGCTTCTGCTAACATGTTGGTGTTGCGCCAAACCGAAAGACAATATAAAGCTGTACCTATTATTCAGAAGGATATGATCAAAATGGCATTTGTAGTCCGACTTCCACGTATTTACACATTAAAATTTGGATAAGAATTTGAAGAATATGCAAATTCATTTAGCTCAGGTTGTTAGTACAAGCTTGTTTTACAGTATTTATTAAGGAAATACGAATGTATATCGGATATATCATACGGTCTGATAATAAAATAAACGTCACATGATCGTTTTCATATTCATTAGAGTCCATTTTATGATTCTGTCGATAACAAAGTGTTCATGACGGTTAACGTAAATGTACAGCCGGTGACACCTTTCCAAAATACATGCAAAGGCATGTCAAATGTTCACTTGAACAAATACAGGATCATACGATATTAGTCACAAATTGCATTTCACCTGTTTCTGGTCACCAAATTTGGTAATGTCACCAGCATGTCTACGTATGTTCTTCAAAGCTTTACGAAGTCATATTGTATTTACGATATAAGAATATCGATATACGTCCCAATGTACTAGTATATGCATAAAAAAATGGGAACACAATTTGTACACATTGTACCTATGGTCTTGCTTAAATGTTATTTAATATCAGCTATGGAAAATGCATGGGAAGATGTAAAGATCACATAAGAGTGGTTTTGGAACATGGACCGAAAATGGGCGAATGAGGTGAGGTGAGGTGAAATTGGGTTTTACGTCGTGCTTGAGAATATTTCGCTCATATGACGACGTAATGGGCGAATGAGGCAGTGAGGAAGTTAAAAGATACATTAACGACAGACGTGGCCACGTAGGGAATCAAACCTTGTTATTCTACTTACCACCAAACTCTACAAGCACCGTGCTACCACAGACTACCCAGTGCGATGGGATATGAAACGCACGGGCATGATGCTACACAGTCTGATCAAGAATGATAAAGAGTACGAATCTTGGATATGAATCAACATGGCGATGATCCGGGAACTCAACACAAGATCCAACACAGCAGGGCCGATTTATTGCCTAGACTTAGCTAGGACAAAAACTGACGCCGTGCTGCTTGCCCTTAGAATTCAACGTACTTTGCCAATAAGGACAAAGACGAATACCCTCTGCAACCATTTTGCATAACCGTTATGATGTACCTACTGATAAATAACAATTTTTGAAGAATTAGAAATAAAATTCCATTTACTGTAATGAAATCGGGGATACTTCGAGTAAGTCAAAACATTTCTGGTCATACTTCCTGTGTATTTAAGAAAACAAATTTAACTTCAAAGGTGACGCAACATTAGGTAAATGTCGA